CACCTTTCTTCCAGACCGTACTGAAGGGACTCTTCTTGTCTACCTTGTCGAGCGCGCGCGCAAGTCTGCAGCAGTAATATGTCATCTGGCCATTCGAGTATTTGGAGCGCATCTCTTGCAAACGTACGATTGATGGCCCAGGGTAATGCTCTTTGAGGGTCCAGCTTCGTATATGGTCAAATCAAGAAACACTTTCTGGCGGGGGGGGGCACCCACTGAGTGGGTGCGCGTCCTGGCAGACCTCGCTCTTGATATCCAGTGACGTGAACAACTTCAGACCAAGCCACGCCCCTCCATGCGTCATAAGGGGCGTCGAGGGTGCGGACCCCCTTCGCCAACTGGTCGCCTTGGAGAGCGCGTCGATTCTGGTCGCCCCCGACCTCCCCACAGAACGCGTCAAACAAAGGTACCCGACTCGTGTTGATGCGGGTCTGGGAGTAGGGGTTCAATGCAACGCTTCGCTGGGGGCATATGGTGCTGTTTTGCCGCCCTGACCGTCTCCTCACCCGATCGCGCTTTGAATGTGAGTTTGACGGGTCTGCGGGGGTCCACCGGCGCGCCCAGAAGGGTCTCGATATGCTGAACCATCGGGCCAGGCGGCTTACCAATAACAAACAATTCGATAGTGAACTCATGCTCGTCGAGAACATACGATGGATGCGTGCCGTCGCCTCGCGCAATACCATCAATCATGCGTAATGGAATCGCCTCGCCAATCGCGCGTAGCGGGCCGCTCCAACCGCCGCCGATCACGAACGGGGTTTTGCGCGCCAAGACACCAATGCCAAAACAACACGTGAGCTTTAAGTTTCGCGGCGTGAGACCCTCGCCCACGAACGTGTGCACCGCGCCAACCATGATGACCCCGAGCTCTGCAGAACGGATGCAACATCTGGCAGCACGTCCTGCGCGGAGACATCCTTCACCTGGTGGCCAGCTGTCCAAATGCGGCCGAATAAGAATGCACGCGCCTCTTGATGCAAACCCATTCTCAGTAGGGGGCACAGGCCCACCGCGCATAGTCCAGCCAAGAGGCGCCATCTTCTTGACCATGCCAGCGATGCTCCTGCGCAGTATGATAGCCGAGCTCAACCTCGGCAGCACGCCCTCGATCGAAGCCCAAGAAGATGAATTCACAGTGGCCAACGAAAAGCTCTCAATATCCACATACTTTCTAGTGCCATGAATCTGCACAGCAGCTACGTCAAATGCCCATCGGCGGCCCCCCGAAGCAGACCTCGACGGCGACAGCTGGGTCGACTGCCACGCGCGCGCCGTCCTCGGGGTCGAAGACCTCGGCGACGCCCACGTCGCCAGCGCGCCGGGCGACCCCGAGCCCGAAGAAGTGCGCGACCGTCGGCGCCAAGAACTGGTGGAACCCGTCCTGCAGGTCGATCGAAGCCCCCCAGAGCTCGGGCCCGCGGCCCGGCTCGTTCTCCACGAAGAGGGGGCCGAGGACGAGACTGGACATGGCCGCGGCGGTCGCGAGGCGGGTGTAGGGCGCCGTGCGGCGGGGCATGTTAGCTGGCCGACAGTCAAGCGCCATCCGTCGCATCCCGTCTTTTTGGCCGCAGAGATGATGCCGACGCGAGATGCCACTCGGCGTCGGTACGCGATGAGGCCCACGGAGTCAAACTTGGCGATGAGGTCGTCCAATGAGGCGAGGTGACCGTCTGGGCCGCTCGCCCCAGCGCGGTCGGACAAGAGGGGGCCCCTCGGCGTCCGCCTGCAGCGCGATCCAGCGGGGGTCGTCCAGGTGCACCCCGGCGGCCTCGCCGACGAGCTCCGCGGCGCCCCGGCGGTGGACGCCCCCCTTCGCGGCCGCCAGGAGCTCTGGGCGGCGCGGCGCCACTGCGGGCGAGGCGTCGCTCTCGCGCAGGCCCTCGGTCTTGAGACTCGGAAAGTGCCCCGTCAGGGCACGGGTCAGGTTGGCGAGGCCGCGGTTCGGCGGCCTCTGCGGCGGCCGCGAGCCCCCCCCACGCTCGCCGCCGCGCGTCAGAGAGCGGCCACGTGGAGCCGCGTGGTGGGACGGCCCCGGCGAGGGCACCCCCCTGCAAGGCCCGAACCCCAGCCGGAGCGCTGAGCGCCGCAGCCGCTTGACGCAGCTGCCCAAGGTCAGGAAAAAGCAGGCCGTCGGCGTCAGACAGCACCGCGCTGCGTGAATTGGCAATCCCCGGCAGTGCCAAAGGAAAAAGAGAGCGTGAACGGTGGGCTGCCATCTCTGCCGAGCGAGGTGGCAGCCAAGGGGATCGTGGGCCAGGCCGCCGATCACGTCGTCGGCCCGTCCTTTTTGTGCCTGTCCGTCTCCTCTGCGAACAGCCGCTGCTGCTTGGGTGAGAACGCCTCCGTCTTCTGCTCCTCTGCGATGAACTTCGCGAAATCGCCCGTGGCGGCCGCTGATCCCGAATCCAGGTCCGACGCAATGATCATCTCCACCCCCCCGAAGTCGTTGCTCTTCGGCGATATCCGCGCGCCCCTCTCGATATGCATGACACGGCGCGTCAGCATCTCCATTCCCGCAAGCCGGTCGACCGCCCCCCCGTCAAGCGGACCATGGCCATAAGCTCCACCGCCGCGCTCGGACCCCTGAAAAAAAAGGGCCAATCCGAGTCCGCGCTCGGCGCAGCGACCGCCCCAGCGGGGCCACCCGGGGTCCGCTTCTGGAGGGCTGCCCTTGCCTCGACCTGCTCGCCAAACTGGTCCGCTCCCGTGTCCGCTATGACCCACACCGCCACGCCTCGCCTTAGGGCCGCTGTCGCCCCTCCGATGAGCCCGGACATAGCCTCGCCCTGCGGCTGCAGAGCTTGCATCTGGTCCTTCGCGAGGTCGCCAAACATGTAGATGTCCCCGCGGACTCTGGGTGGCACCTCGCATCCTCGCGGAAGCGGCACCACCACCATGTGGTTCGCGAGGTCCAACAACTCCACGTTGTAGTCTGGTGTCGAGACCCCCTGGCCGGTTCGTGCCGTACCCGACCCTGTTGAAGAGGAGGCGGTGGTGCCAGGTGATGTGGTCCTCGTCCGGGAAATCTATGGCTACCTGCGGGCTAGCCACGTCCAACGCGATCTCGCGAGCTCGTGCCATCATTTCCGATTAGTCCTGGGCCGCCAGACCTCCTCCTCTGATGGCGTCTGCAGCCCTGAGGGGCCCCTCTGGGCTTGAGCGTCCACCGTCACCCAGAACAAACAGGCCAGCCCCAGGAATCGCGAAAGCCCCACCACCAGCGCTAGCACGACGGCGGCGCGGGCGGCCGCTGGGAAACTGATGCTCGCGCCGCCCTCCGCCGCGGCCTCGAAGCGGCCGTTGCCCCATCAGGAGCACGCGCGGGCCGCCCACCAGAGCAGCCCCGCGCCCGCGAGGGACAGCCCGCTGAGCACCCACCGCCCCAGCCCAGCGCCGTGCGCCACGGGGCAGGCTGGGCACGCCGGCGCGTCGACCTCCGGGCACGGAGGCGCATCCGGGCAGGAGGCGGGCGAGCAGACCACCGCTGTGCAGACTGGCCTCGGGCAGGTCCAGCTCGTGCGCCACGACGCACGGCGCCGGCTCCGGCGCAGGGTGGCGGCCCATCATGCCACCCAGGAGCGACCCGGCGAACCCAGCAATTGCGGCGAAGGAAGGGGTGGAGCGCATCACACTCGGCTTAATCGCTTGAGCCAAAAACTTGACGTGGGGCCGGCTACGATCGTGACAACGATACCATGGCACACCATCAATAGATCTCGTCGCCCTAGCCTGGACCAATGGTTTTGGAGGATGCACCTTGCGCCGCGGCGGGTTCAGAACGTTCCAGAACGATCGAACATCTTCCCGGGACGCTCTGGAAATAACAATCCTTGTCCTGCCGGTCCTTGAAACGCCCGACGTGCCCAAGGCCTCGCGACGTTGGCCTCGCCCGAGGCCTCGCGACGTTGGCCTCGCCCGGATCGGTTTGGCAAATCCGCCGATCCGGCGTGTGAACTACAAGGGGCCTCAGCAAGAGCTTCAGCTCTCAGCTCTGCTTGGGGGGGGTCGCCGGGGTTAATGATTTGCGCATGGGTCCCAGGAACCGAATCCGGAGCCCCCGTGATCGGCGACACTGGCCGGAGGCCATTACAATATATCTGTATCCCCGCCCTAGCAGTCTGGGCTGCTGGGCTTGATCCCGCGAGTACGGGATCGCACGCGGGGTCGCGGCCTGGGGGCTCAGCCCGCGGCCCGCGAGGCCGTACGGAAATGATTCCCGCCCGCGAGAGGAGAGACCCGAGGCACACTGAGCCCCCTTCCGAAGCCAAAACGCTCCTGATTCCAACGTTGTGACTGCGGAGTTCAGCAGACTCTGAGATCTGACCCAAAAAAAATACAACCTCGAAACTGTGGCGGCAGAACCCAACTTTCTGCCCCATGTATCGAGCCAGTTCAATGCGTGAGGGCCCAAGGGCCCGAAAACATACGAAAACGCCCTGTGTGAAAAAAAGAAAACGCCAAGATCTCAAAAGAGGAAAAAGTCCCAGACCCCCGACCTCGCGACTTCTTCACAACGTGGAACCCCAACGGTCTACAATCTACACCCCTCCCTCGGTACCAACTTTTTATTCTGAATAGTTTTGCTGCCGGCTCTGGGGCTTGGCGAAGGCCCCAATTGGGGCTTTCGCCAGTCCCCAAGGACCCAAAACCTTCCGTCGCAAATTTGTTTCCGACGGGAGGAGGTTTCGGGAGGAGGAGGAGGGGGGTAGGAGGAAAAAGAGGAGGAGGAGGAGGAGGAGGAGAAGGAGGAGGGGGAGGAGGAGGAGGAGGAGGAGGAGGCCTCGAGGCGGACCGGCCTTCTATCCTCGTGGCCGCCGCCGCCGCAACCATCGCTGCCGCCGCCGCGGTCGATGCCAGCTGGCGCCGCCGCCACACCGATCGTCGTCACCGCGGTGGCCCTCGCGGCGGATCGGCCGATGCCGCCGCCACCGCAGTCATCGCCAGTGAGGGAGAAGGCGGGAGGGACAGGGCGGTGCACGAGGACCGCGGCTGGCGGCCTCGCGCGGCCAGTGCTGCGCCGCGGCCCTCTGCAGACAGCAGAGACGCCTGTTGTCGAAGGCGAACCAGCGTTCCTCGGAGGCCCCAGCTCCCCATCGTTGTCATCATCGACAGCAGCATCAACAACAACACTATCATCGTTATCAGCCATACTGCCATCATCAGCAGCATCCTCATCACCACCACACCATCATCATCAACATCATTATCCGCATTAACATCGCCACCATCATCCTCATCATCGTCATCCTCCTCCTCATCATCATCATCACAATCATCACCATCCTCAGCATACCCAATATCGACAACAACTTCGTCATCGACAGCATCATCATCATAATCCAACATCATTAACAACAGGAACGCCACCGTCACGGCCACCGTCGCCGTCATCACCAATACCTTCTCATCATCATCACCATCTTCGCCATCTTCGTCCACACCACAATAATCAGCACCACCATGATCATCATCATTATCATCGTCATCGTCACCACCATTACCTATATCATCAGAATCCTCATTATCGTCACCATCCTCATGATCATCACGATCACCAGCATCACCATCATTCCCACCACCAGCAACATCATCATCATCATCATCACCGTCAACATTACCGTCAACATCATTATCATAATTATCATCATCACCATCATGATCAACGACGTCGTCATCGTCACCAAAAAGAACATCATCGTAAGTATCCTCGTCGTCGTCAACATCATCAACATCACTCCGTCCTCATCCCACTCCGCATCCCCCGTCCGCCCCCTTCCTCCCCGTTTCACTGGACCTCTCCCTGGACATTTCCCTGGCCACATATATATATATATATATATATATATATATATATATATAAAAAAAAAAAAAAAAAAAAAAAAAAAAAAAAAAAAAAAAAAAAAAAAAAAAAAAAAAAAAAAAAAAAAAAAAAAAAAAAAAACGTGGCGACGACGGAACCCTAAAAGTCCAAAACATCGACCCCCAAAGCAACTGGAACCCTCCATGTTGAATCTCCCATAATCCACACAAAAAAAAAGAAAGGTTTCCGGGGTCGGGATGTTTCAGCCCTCGTCCAAAGGATTGTGGAAGAGCTGTGGATGAGCTTAATTATTCTTGAGCCAAAAGTACACGGGAACATTCTCCTGTCACAGCTCCCAGGAAGGCGTATTTAGCCCCGCGGACGTGCCCCCCCCCAAAAAAATTGGACTAGGGACGAGCACATCTCCTCGTGGTCGGCATGCGCAAGAGCGGGCAACATAAAACGCCCTCATCAACGGTCTGCGCCTTCATGATCAGTGATGGCGCTCCCGCAGGCGGTTCATGACCTCCGCGGCGGCGGTGAGCATCCGTTGGATGTCACGCCCGCTCGCCAGCATGCGAGGGCGCCACTTCACGTCGATCCCGTGGTCCTTCCACTCATTCGTCAGCTGGGTGATCACGTGCATCTCCGTCGGGCTGCTCCCCCCAGCGCTCTCGACGAGCTCCTCCTTCCTCGCGTAGCCGTCCTTGAGCGCCAGGACCCGCTCGACGGGCAGCTCCCGCAGCTCGCCGACGGCGTGGACCTCGTATAGGCGCTGAACCTCCCGTGTGATGTACTTATGTTCCTCGAGCCTCCATATAGCCTGCGTTCTCTGCTGCTGCTTCGACTCGGCGCACCCCTCGTGGTGCCGGTGCCTCTCGCCTATCAACGCCGCTCTTGGGTCCTCCTCGGCCGTCTGGAGGACCGCTTTGCGCCTGCCCACGCACCAGCCGCAGAGGTGCGCGATCATACACAGCACCACGACCACACTCACCAGCAGCCATTGGAAAACCCCCGGCAGCACTGCCTCAAGCTTCTCGCCCGCATTGTCCATCTCGCACTGGTCCTTGGCCGCCGCCGCGCCAGGGGTCGCCGGGGGAGTCGAGGGCATCATGGCTGCGCCCGTCATCCTCAGGCTCAGCTCGTGTAGGTGCGTCGCCGCGCTTTTCCTTGTCAACATACTTCGTCTGGATGTCCGCCACCATCTTGCGCGTGTCCTCCTTCGCGAGCTCGAACGCATGGAGTCGTGGCCGCTCCTGGATCCAGAGGTAGCGCAGCTCCAAGTGGCTCCGAGCGCGTAGAACTCCGACTCGCCACTGCTGAGAGCCTGGGTGGCCTGGCTGGCCGAGTTGCACTCCCAGGTGTGATTGCCGAACCTGATCGCGCCTCCAGATGTGCTCTTGCGCGCCACCGCCGTCGGCGCCGCCCAGTCCGCATCGCCGTCGGCCCTCAGGATACTCGGCAGGCCCTGCAGCTCGCAGCACCAGACCAGGACTTGGTGTCCCTCAAGGTATCGGGCCAGCCGCATGAGCCTCGCATTCATCTGATAGTTCGGCTTGCTCACGTCCTGCATGATGGTCTTGCTCGCGAGCGTGATGTCGGGCCGATCCGCCGCCAGGCAGAGCGCGAGGCCCCCCGCTGATGCTGTCTTGCGTGCCTCGGCCGTGGGCAGCGGGTCCGTCACATTGCGTAGCTGCGCCCCGATCGCCTTGGCGCCTGGGGCGTCGACCGCCTTGGCGCCCTCCTTGGATCCGAACTTGGTGATCTCCGTCACGTGCTTCGGGTCCGCGTGCCAGAAGAAGCCTGCCAGCGTCGTCTCGGGCAGCTGGTCGACGTTGCCGCAGGCGCGCTTCAGGTAGCGGGCAACTCCAGGGTGACCAGGCCCCAGCGGCGGCGATGAGGTGATCTCATATTCCACGCTCAGGACGTCGCCCAGCTGGTCGGGCGCCCCGACATGGCCCTCCGCGATGAAGCCGTCGCCGTGGACCCCACTCGTGGCGCCGTTGCCGCCGCTGCAGAGGTTGGCGAAGTAGAACATGCCAGGGGCGCACTTCAGCGCCTTGCCTCCAGCGTCGTCCGTTGTAGCCCTCACGTTCTCGCCCCGCAGCTGGCTGGCCAGTCAGGTCCCGTACAGGGCCTTGAACAGCTCCCAGCAGTAACCACGCTCGCACAGCTCGCTGCCTGGGTGGGCGCATATCTTCTCGGTTGGGTCGCTGTTGAAGAACGCCTTGCGGACATCCCAGATGCGGATGCACCGTCTGTGCTGCCCGTCGCTATCTGGCTTGCTGGCCGCCAAGCTGAGAATCGCGCGAAACATCGCGAGTGGCGGTGTGCCCTGATGGGTGTCCTCGCGGTGCTGGTGGGCCACCTCCCGTCCCCACGAAACGCCAGCGCACCTCGCCAGCCTTCTCGCGCGCGACGGGGAAGCCCCCGACGTGCTTGCCACCAGGCCCGCAGTCCGCGATGCGGATCTTGCGGTAGACGCCGTGCTCGGCCATGGCCTGGAGCTCGTCTGCCTTGCCTTTCTGGTACTTCTCCTCGTCGAGAAGCTCGCCCGTGTAGTAATCGTAGTGGATCTTCACCGTCGGCTCGGGCGAGTCCGGGTCAAGGTTCCAGTCGGGCTGCTCGCGTGCCCTACGTCTCGACCACAATGCGCACAGGCTCGCCACGACCTCGGCGTCTGGATTGAGCTTCTTGGCGCAGCCGATGAGACATCTCCTGCACGCACACTGTCCAGCATGGTTGCGTCGGTAGGCACAGCGGCCCACGTGCGCCTACAACGAGCCCTTACACCGCCCCCCCCCCCGCCCCCCGGCATCGGGTCCCAGGGGGGCCTCTGCCTGGTCGTCGTCCTCCTCGCAGACCGCCAGCTCGCAGACGGAGAGGCCCGCGATGACCACGACCTCGGGTGCCTGCACCAGCGCGCCGATCCTCTGTCGTTTGTTCGGCACTGAGGTCTCTGCTACGGGGTCTTGCGCCAGTGCCTTAGGCGCGCTCGTGTCCATCCCTGGGGTCACAGGCGCCACGACTGGCGTGGGTGCTGTCGAGGACGCTGCTGCCGCTGGACTCGAGGCCGCTGCCTGCGCGTCGGCAGGCGCACGCGGGGGGGCCTGGGGTGCTGGCCCCGGCGCCGCTGGAGTGCCTGGGGCAGCCCCGCCATTGGCCTCCTCCGCGAGCTTCGCCTCGAGCCTCTCCTGCGCGATGGTCTCGATGCGCTACCTGCACTGCTCACTGTGCTGGCCCCGTCCGTAAGTGCACTTCGGGCAGCTGTCCGTCGGGCCGCGCGTGCTCAGCATGTTCTCTGTGATATACATGGACTTCCTGATGACCGACCTCACTCGCTCATGCACAGGGGCCCATGGCGTGACGTCGATCTGCTTCACCAGATCAGCGTTCCTGCGGAACTCCTCAGGCATGCGGCGGACCGAGCGGACCTTCAAGAGGCCGCGCTGCAGATCGACCAGCACGTGCTGGTCGTCGAACTCCGACTTGCCCACCCAGATGCCCTTCGCGAAGCGCGCCTCGAAATTGCCCTGGCCCACTGCGACTCGAGCCGCGATGCGGCGCCGCACCTGCTCGCCGACCTCCGCCACCTCGCCCGCGCACTCGTGGCCGAAGAGGTACTTGTAGCTCCATCCTCCGCGGCTCCTCGGCTGGAACCTCGCGATGTACCAGCCGACCGTGTTGGCGAAGAAGGCGGGGATGGGGTCCGAGAGCTCGAGCTTGCAGCCTAGCTTGGCCTCGAGTGAAAATCGCAACGTGCGGAGTAGTCCCGCAGCTGCTCCGTTGCTGGCCTCGATGTGTCCCATGGTCTTGGATGAGTACTCTGGGCCCTGCCGCGCTATCGTAGAGTGCGACCTGAGCTTCTTCACCTGCCCCGCCAGAGCGACGATAGCATTCTCGTCGTCCGCGAGCAGAATTACCGTCGCGTGGCCCCAGCTGTGAATGAGTGTGGCCACGAAGTGCGCCCTGTAGTCTCCCATGTGCTTGGGCCGAAGAGCGCGCCTGCGGCGTTGGACCTGCAGCCCGCGACGTTCAGGATCGCGGGCAGCTCCCCGCGCCCCTTGTGCTCCAGATTCCTGAAGTCGACGACCTTCGCGACGCAGCCGTTCACCATGGGGCACTTCCCAGCTATCTCGTCGGTGGCCACGTAGAAGAAGTCCATCTCCACGATTGGGTGCTCCTCGTCGCCTTTCGGCTGCGCGCTCACCTCGTTAGGCGTGTCCCTCGCGCGGCCCGTGACGCAGTGCCTGCGCCGCGGCCTGAAAGGGAGATGATGCACTGCGTGGGCTCGCCTCTCCTCCTCCGAGGGCCGCCCGGGCCCCGCGAGAGCCTTCGCCTTCAAGGTGGCGTTCTCGCTGGGGCCTGGGCCGAGCGCTGTCGGCAGCTGCTGTCGAGCCTCGGTGGCTGGGACCTGGGCGCGCAGGGTCGCGCGCGTCGCGCTGAGGTACAGCTCCTCGCCCAGCTGCTCGCCGATGACCTCGTCCAGCCCGCCGATGCTCTCGTCCAGCTCGCCGATGCTCGCCGAGCGCACCGCCCGCTTGCCCTCGGAAGGGGCCGCCCAGCATCTCGTCGCACGCCATGTAGCACGTGCCGCGATCCTTCCTCAGCTGAATCTTGTTCGCCGGTGCTGGGGTTGAGACCGGGCTGTCTACAATCCAGTCTCCGAAGGGAGAATGGATCGCCGACTTGCCCTGCTTCGCAATCGCGAAAGTGGACATCGCTGGGAACTCCACGTCGGCAACCTCCGCCGAGATCTGGATCACGTCCTGTCCCGTCTTCAGCCGAACATCCGTCTTGCCGCAGTGCTGCGCCTCCGTGCCGTCGATGGCCAACGGCTTGGAGATGCCCGACTTGGCGAGCACGCAGCCCTTGCCCTTCAGCATGTCGTAGGGGCACGCTGTGATCTGGGCCCCAGAGTCTATCGTGACCACTCTGACCCCGCGGATGCCTGATACACAAACACTGCCACCGCTCGCGCTGCGCCTCGATCCACTGGGTTCCGCCGACCTCGCCCTCGGCCTCGAGTGCTCCACCGACGGGGCGAAGATGCACTTCGGTATGATCGTGTCCTGCTCTGCAAAGAGGCCGTTGATCCCGCGCGCGCACGTCGGCACCGTCGGGGTCGCGCTTGCTGTCGAGGCTGCCCGCGATGAGTTCGGGACGGGCTGCTGCGGCACAGCGCGCGCCGCGCGGTGTGCGAGGTGCTGCGAGTGCTGGCCTGCGCTGTCGCGCCCAGGTGGGGGGGGGGGGGGCAAGTCCACCAGGGAGCGCGCCCCCACCTGCGGCGAGCGCTGCCGCCGTGGCACGGCGCTGCATCTTCTCATCCTTGGCCTTCTTATATGCTTCCGCCTTGGCCTCGTTCTCTTGCTCGAACTTGCGGCAGTCGTCCTTGACGTGGTTCGGCTTCTCGCAGTGACTGCACCACTTCCTCGAATGGTTCGGGTTGTCCTTCGCCTGCGGCTCGAACTTGTTCTTAATATTATCATTGTCTTTGTCCTTGTCACCCTTGCCTTTCCCTTTGCCCTTCGGCTTTCCATTCGGCGCGCCGGTCTCCATCGCGTCGTCGTCAAAGCTGCGCTGGGCCTTCAGGGCACTCAGGACCTCATTCTTCACGTCGAGGTAGGTGGCCAGGTTCCGCAGCTTGCGGAAGACATGCTTCTGCAGGTAGTGTTCGTTCTGGAGCGCGCCGAGCAAGATCCCCTCCTGGATGTTGTCGCTCAACTGCTTTTCGGCAACCTTCTCATACCTGCTGATCTCTACGTCCAGCTTCTCGATCTCGTTGGCAACGTCTGCGTTCGTCGCGAACTGCGTAGACATGAGCTGCCTCAGACGCGCCACAACATTGCCAGGCCCATGGGGTGCATACTCGCCCTTCAGGCGGGTCCACGCTTGACCGCCTTCTCCGTGTAGAAGGTTACGCACGATGGCCTCGCCCGCTGAGTCTTCTGGCATCGCGGGCACCAGCGTTTAGTCGAGCTGTGTGCTCAGGCCCTCCCAGTTTACACCGTCCGCGCTCATCGTGGCATTCTTGGCGTCGTCCAGCTGGCCCAAGGTCTTGTCATCTAGCTCCTCGAACAAGTCTTTGCAGCGCTTGTAGTTCGCCACCGTGCACGCTCGCCAGTGAAACTCCCATGTGGACCATGCCCTCCGTGAGCCGTCAAACTGCTTGACCTTCCCTATGGTCTTGGCGTCGAGCACTCCCTGAAAAGCGCTGGGCGACGCGAACTGGCTGCTGTTGAGCTGCCTGTCCTGCAGCTTGGGGTTGATGTTGCTGCTGCAGCTGCTGCAGCTGCTGCGCCGTGGCCAGTAGGTCCGCTATCTGCTGATGATGCTGCTGTTGCAGCTGCTGCTCCATCACGACGTCGTTCCGCTGCCGGGGTCGTGCAGATGTTCCTCGGCTGCGGAACTGCGCCCAGCTCCGCGCTATCATGTTTCAGCCCTCGTCCACAAGATTGTGGAAGAGCGGTGAATCAACTTCATTTTTCGTGAGCCAAAAATACACGGGAACATTCTCCTGTCACAACTCCCGGCCAGGCGCACTCAGCCCCACGGACGCACCCCCCCACCCAGATTTGGACGAGGGACGAGCACGGAAAGCCACGACATGTGGGATCCTGAAATTCGCCTGCTCTGCGCATTCGCCTGACCCTGCGCTGGCGGGCATGTCGCTGCGGCACCGCCGCTCACGCGTCGCGCCTGAAAGGCGCGCTCGCGCCTTCATTATGCTCCCCGGCAGAGAACAACGCCAAGGGCAGTCCTCGTGCACCAGGCGCTCGCGCCAACGCTCGGCTCCCCGATATGGAGCGAGCCCCTGCCTGGACGGGGCGAACCCAACTCCGCCGCCGTTCCTGGATAAGAAACAGGCCCCTGCCTGGATAAGGCAAGCCGCCCAAGCGGCAACGCTCTTGGCTCGCCGACAAGGGGCGAGTTTTTGCCGGGATGGGTGAGCCCAATTCCGCCACAATTCCAGGGCGAGGAACTGGCCGCTGCATGCATAAGGCAGGCTGGGGCGGCAACGCTCTTGGTTTCCGAATAAAGAGCGGATCTTTGCCTGGATAAGGCAAACCCAATTCCGCCGCAATTCCTGGATGCAAAAACACGTCCCTGCCTGGATAAGGCAAACCCACGCGGATGCCGCAATCCATGAAAAATGAGCGGGGCCCTGTTTGGACAAAGCAAGCCCGAGCGGCTCGGCCCAGACCCTCCGCAACGGGCTGACCGCCGCCAAGCCAAGAGGCGAACCGACGCCCAAAAGTCGGCGTGGACTGCCCGGGGAAGGCAACCGCGGCGACAGTGGACATACATACATTTTTTGGCCGGGATGCACCTGGGCCCTCGGGGCGGGGAGGGATCGCGTTTGGGCCCCCCCTGCTGCGGAGGTGTTTCGGGCCTGCGTTATCCGAGCGGAGACCGCTCCTGCGAACGCGCAGGCTTGCGACGCAGAGGCGGGCCCCTATTTGGACGCCCCGCGCCAGGTTCGAGCGCGGCAGGGCGGGGCAGTCCATGGGGGGCCCTGCTGGACTCTACTCCTGCTCCAATGATAGCGCTGCTTCATTTGGGCCAAATTCGCGCCGGGCGCGCCCGCCCCTGCCCCCCGTGGCCGGACTGTAAGAAAACACTACAATGAAATGTTTGGGATTCGGCTGCATCAAATCACGGGGCGCGCTCTCTCTCTCTCTCTCTCTCTCTCTCTCTCTCTCTCTCTCTCTCTCTGTCTCTCTCCCTCTCCCTCTCTCTCTCTCTCTCTCCCACTCTCTCTCTCTCTCTCCCGCTCTCTCTCTCTCTCTCTCTTTTTTTCTCTCTCTCTCTCTATATATATATATAAAAATATATATACACATAAAACCTTCCTATCGGACTGCGCGCGAACAGTCCGCCGCCACCGGGCTGCTAGCATTCCAGCGCGCATATCCTGGAAAGGGAGCGGCGGCCGCGTCGGCCGAGCCCCTTTTTGCCGACGTCCGCTCGCCGACGGCAAGCCCGCCGCCGATCCAGCAGACCCACGACCCCCGTGAGTCACGAATTCTGCATGGCTTTTGTTATGTATGGTGTTTTGATGTGCGATGTCTTGAGTTTTGCCTTTCCTGGTTCATATTCTAAGGTGTTCGTTGGTTGTCTCGATTCCTTCTCATGGGCAGCGCGCGACAAGACCGCGGCAGGGTCTGGTAGCCTTTGTCGAGCCTTGATGACCCTTGACAGCCATTCGTATGCCTTACGCCTTAAGCAGCGTCGAAGCATGTCAAGGCTTGTGGCAGTTGTCGACGGTTGAACGCTGACCGATTGGATATCCCAGTCCCGCGCGAGCGGAGTTCTGTTGCGCGCGCGATCGAGTAGTCGCCATGCTGGTATCGAAATGAATGCCCTTCGCGGTGGCCGACCACATGTCGGGTGACCCGCGCGGTGGGCGGGTCACCCGCCGAGCGTGCGCGCGCGGCACCTTCTGCAATGTCCACGATCAAAACGCCACGTCGCCCTGGAAACGAGAAGCGAACGCTCGGCGGTAACCGAAAGGATTTCAAGTGACCCGCGGGATGGGTGGATCACCCGCCGCGCGCGCGCCCAGCGAGCCCTGCAATGACCGCGCTAAGGAAAGTCGTCTGGCCTGGAAATTTAAAGTGAACCCGTCGCGGCGATATCTTTCATCTTGAAGTTGGCATGTTCTTGCGCACATTCCCGAAGATAGTAAGAACGTGCTGTTTGCGAGAAGCCTGAAGCGAACTCCATTGAGGTCACCGAGCGCGCACGGGTGACGCGCGCCACCTGCGCGCGGCGAAGGGTTTCCGACCTTGCCCAGCAACGGCTACTGAACATGCGCGTGCTCTCTGCTGCAACAACAAACTGTCACCCCTCTCCCCCTTCCTCTTCCGCCTCGCCCCCCCCCCCCCCCCCCCCCCCCCCCCCCCACCCCCACCCACCCACCCACCCCACTCCCCCCGCATGGGGGAACGGGAATGAGGGGGGCGAGAAGGAGGGGGGCGAGGGCGAGGAGGATGAGGACGAGAAGGAGACCGAGGAGGGCGACGACGACGACGACGACGACAACGACGCCGAAAACGACCACGACGGCGAGGAAAACCAAAAGGGAGGATGGGGGGGGAGGGGGGGGGGGGGGCGACGGAACGGCCGCGGGAAAGCCCGCGTCGTGGTCCGAGCCCGCGCGCCCAGGGCTCAAAGATCCCCTGCTGTGGTGGATGTGGTTCTTCATTTCTACATTTGGCCTCGTTGCTGGTAACTGCAATCCCTCGTTTTTAACATCGCTTTTGGTTGCTACAATTGACCTCGTTGAGTTTCTACACTTAGCTTCGTCTTCGGTTAGTACAACTGACTTCGTTTGTGAAGTATGCACTTGACCTCGCTTCTGGCGGCTGAAAGTGACCCCGTTTTCGAAATTCTTCACATTGTCTCGTTTTGGGTTACTACCGTTGACCTTGGTTTTGGCTCCCTACACTTGGGCCCTTGTTTCGCAGTTGCGTTCGCACTCGTGTACTACAAGTGCTACAGCGTGGATTGTTTAACCGTTTTGACGAATTTAATACAGTTGGCATCGTTTCGGGTTTCTACACTTGCTTGCGACAGCTGGTTTCGTGTTTTACTGTTCCAGGTGCGTGTTCTAGTCAAGCGCGCTCCACTATTCATAAAGAAACTGCTGGTAAACTGCTTAGATCCGCTGTCGCAGGACGACGCCAACGCCGCGCGCGCACATCAAAGTTCCCGAAGGACGGCGCGGCATCCGCTTTGCATCTAGAACAACTGAGGAAGACGAGAAAGGGCGCGAGTGAAGCGACAGGCGGGGGGCAGACGGAGGACGAGGCGAGAGCCTCGACGAGGAGGGGGCGGGCAGAAGCGACGGGCGTGGACGGCCAGGAACAAGCCGCTTCCCACGCCGCAACACGCCCCTCCCCGGCTCAATCTACTAGCTAAAAAAGCAAGGCCGCCGTCCCTTCGACCGCGCGCAACGCCGCGGGGTGGTGCGAGCGGGCGCGGGATGGGCGAGGGGGCGGGCGCGCGGCGCGGTAGAGGGGCGGGGGGGGGGAGGGGCGGAATGGCGAAGGGCGGGGGGGGGGGGGGGCGAACATCAATGCTTGCCGAAAGCGAGACGGCACGGCGCATTGACAACACCTGGTGCCAAATCCGGGACGACGCGCAAATCACGCGCGTGCGCGGCATAAGCGCGCCCGCGAACGCGCGAATATCCTCGCTAGGAAATCGCGCGCGCGTCAACGCCCGCAGTTGCCCTGCCTGGGCGACGGTCTAGCCGCGCGCGAAATAAATGACGCCCGTCCACGCGCGCAGTTGGGTTCAAGCGCGCGCTCTTCTCGCCGAGCAAACGCCCGCGCGCTGCAAGGCTCTCCGAGCTTGCGAGCCACTGCCCCCGTGGACCCCGAGGCGATTTCGAAGAGACTGAGCAGCACCAGGTGCAACACGATCCTTTTTCACGTGGCTGTTCAGCTTGGCGACACAGCAGGGGCCCCAGAATCACCCATTCCAGACGAGACCATGGGAGGGCGGGGTGCGGCCGCAAATGTGGCTGTGCGGCCCAAGGACAAGCACGTGCTTGAGCAAATGATATGATGATGACGATGATGAAGATGATGCTTGTAATGGGAGCAAACGGTAAACAAACAAACATTATGGGGCGGACGATTAGAACAAACAATTCGCCGGCCTGGTTCCCCCACCATACGAGGCGGGGGAAGCAGGCTGACGAAAGACGGACAATCCAGGGCTGTTTGGGGGGCCCAGGGGGCCCACGAGGCCGCCAAACGTTTGGGAACCAAGCCCTTGAAGCACATGTTTTGACCTTTTCCTCATCCTGCCCACCTCCCCCTCTCCCTCCTCCTCCTTTTCCTTATCATCCTCCGCTTCCTCCTCCTCCTCCTCTTCCTCCTCATCCTCGTCCTCCTCCTGCTCCTTTTCCTAGTCACCGCGGTCGTCCGCGAGGACGACTGCGCCGACTAGAAGGACGACGACGAAGACGACAACTACGACGACGGCGAGGACGACGACGACGGAAACGAGGACGAAAACGAGGACGTTGAGGAGGAAGACGAGGACGGCGACGACGGACGACGACTACGCAAACGACGACGACGCACTGAAAATGTCCTATGGGTGTGTGCGCGCGTGCGCTGCGCAGGCCCGCTGAAGTCGACGACGACGACGGCAAAGACGAGGATGAGGACGAGGACAGGGACAAGGAAGACGACGACGGACGACTGCGTCGACCAGAAGGACGAAGACGACGACAACGACAAGGATGAGGACGAGACGAGGACGGGGACAACCACGGCGACGACGCACTGCGGAAGCCCTATGGGGGGGGCTGCGTAGGCCAATTGTTTTCGACGCCGACGACGACGACGAGAAGAAAGACGAGGATGAGGACACAGACGAAGACGACGATGATGATGACGGGCGACGACGGCGACGGCGATGGCTGGCGACGACGCGCTGCAGATGCCCTATGATGTGTGTGTGTGTGTGTGTGTGTGTGTGTGTGTGTGTGTGTGTGTGTGTGTGTGTGTGTGTGTGTGTGTGTGTGTGTGTGTGTGTGTGTGTGTGTGTGTGTGTGTGTGTGTGTGTGTGTGTGTGTGTGTGTGTGTGTGTGTGTGTGTGTGTGTGTGTGTGTGTGTGTGTGTGTGTGTGTGTGTGTGTGTGTGTGTGTGTGTGTGTGTGTGTGTGTGTGTGTGTGTGTGTGTGTGTGTGTGTGTGTGTGTGTGTGTGTGTGTGTGTGTGTGTGTGTGTGTGTGTGTGTGTGTGTGTGTGTGTGTGTGTGTGTGTGTGTGTGTGTGTGTGTGTGTTTGTGTGTGCTGCGTAGGCGTAGGCCCGCTGTAGTCGACGACGGCGACGACGACGACGACGACGAAGACGACGAAGGACGGCGAAGGCAACGACGATGCACTGCGGATGTCCCGATGGGGGTTTAGGGGGTGCTGCGCCGGCCCGCTGTAGTCGGCGACGACGACGACGAGGATGAGGACGAGGCCGACGGAAGACGACGGCGACGACGCACTGCGGATGCCCTATGGTGTGTGTGTGCGTGTGCTGCGTAGGCTCGCTGTAGTCGTCGACGACGACGACGATGACGACGCCGATGAAAACGCGGACGGGGACGAGGACGAGAACGAGGACGAAGGACGAAGACGACGACAACGACGACGACGACGTCAACGACGAGGATGAGGACGAGGACGGGGACGAGGACGAGGACGAGGACGAGGACGAGGACGAAGACGCGACGGACGACGACGTCGTCGACGACGAGGAGGAGGAGGAGGAGGACGAGGACGAGGACGACGACGGACGACGACGACGACGATGACGACGACAACGCAGTGCGGATGCCCCATGGGGGGGAGGTGCTACGCATACCTGCTTTACTCGACGACGACGGCGACGACGACGACGAGGACGAGAACGACGGCGACGGCAGAACAATTGCCGGAGGGGGGGGAGCAGACGACCAAAAAACACTTCTGGCGGCTAAATGTTTGTAGTCTGCCCAACCCATCTATTTTGAGGCCCCAGGGGGGGGGGCATCTTCTTAATCGCTTGCTCCCATTACGTAGTCGCCGGCAGGTGGGCAGGCCAAGGGGGGGCTCGGCCTCGGAAGCGTAGAGCTCGAGCCCGGTGTCTGGGTCCGTCCTTCGGCAGTGCGCAGAGGAGGGGAGGGGGAGGGGGAGGGCTTCTTGGAAGTAGGCTGCTTCTTCGAAGGCGCGGGCCTTGTCTACACATGTAATGAAGGCCTGCGCCTCCGAAGGAGCCGCCCCATCCCTAAGAAGCCTTCCCCCCTCTCCCCTCCCCCCGCTGCGCGACGCCATGTCCTCGGGGAGCCGTCCGCCTCGCGCAGCTTGCAGCGCCACCTGGCGGCGCCGCCGCCGCCGCGGGCGGCCGCCGCTCTCTCGGAAGGACCCTGCCGGGGTCGGCGCGTGGGGTGCTGAAAGGGACGGGGGGGTTCTGGCAAGACGCAGCCAGGACGAGGACAAACTCGGGTGAGGGTGAATCGAACAACTCTAAGATTCGGCGACTCTGAAGGATATCTCGGGCGCCGCCTCAGAGCGTTCCAGAACGCTCTGGAACGAACTTCTCCTCGTTAAAACCCCGTCCGAGGATGCCTGGCCTAACCTGACCCATGAGTGGGTTGCAATTGCCCCGAGCCGCTTCGGAGGGTCAGCGATCCGGGCTCAGTGGGCTCCGCCCACTTCGCGGAGTCACCAAACTCCTTGAATCAGGCCACCTGGGGCACCTGTGACCCACTTACAAGCAAGCAAGGGTTAGGCTAGATCTTACCCGCTTTGGCTTGGATGTGGCCCTGGGGTCTGAACAGATTGGGACCCGAGGAAATCGGGCAGGAGGAGTGATGAAGCCAAAACCGTTCTAAATCGATTCCCGGACCTCCTGGGGTGCATCTGGCGGAGCGTTTCACCAAGGATGCGTTTTTGACGGTCCTGGGGCCCGAAAAAGGCCTTCCACAGGCCGGAAAAACGGAAAGCCTTCCGGAACCCAACGACTCGAAACTGCCCGCCCTTTCTGCTGGCATGAGCCAATGCTGGGCCACCTCAGACCCCCAGACGGCTCCAAACTTTGGCATCCACTGATGACCTCCCTATCATCCAACCGCCACAACGATCCTAGTGACATCCTAACGCCGCGAAAACATTGGCGACAGAACGATGTGCTTACTGCTAAATTTCGGCCTCCGGGGGCCCTCGGCAGATCCCGGCCGCGTCAAATAAGGCCTTATGACGATGATAAGCCGGTCCCGGGGAAGGGGCCCGGACCTCCAGGGGTCCGCGTGGTGACAAAAATCACGACGTGGGGGGTCTGGGGAGACTGGTAGGGAGCCCACAAAAGACGAACGCGCCAAACCACGTACATGAATACGGCCCCCAAGTCCACGGGACCAGACTCGCGATACGAACATTCGAACATTCGCGCAATGCGCACTTTCGATACCAAAGTGAGTTCATGTACGTGTGTGCCCTTCTTTCGCTCCTGAACTGGGGAGGGGTGACCCCCCAGCGAAGAAGGCTCAAGTAGAAAACCCAGGAAGACTTGGCAAGAACATACCACGAAACAGAAACAGGTGCGGGACTCTCTGCAGACGCGCGCTCCAGCAGCGGCCGCCGGGGCGCCAGCCCAGACCCCGGCGATTTGACTTTTGGAACCCTGCGCGGCGCGCGACCACCTTCACACCCTCGTGCCCGCTCCGCCTCGGAAAAGGACCCAAACCACGACGCGCGGAGCGTGGTGATCTCCGCGCGCAGGTGGCCTGGTCGGCTACACGCAAAAGTGACCCTAGACAAGAGTGCGCGGCTTCTGGGGGCCGCCGGGGGGCCAGATCTAGGCGCGCAAGCCGCTGCTATCGCCTCGCACTCGGCGAATTTTTGCCATCGGGGGGGCGCACCAAAGATCACTGCGGCGAAAGATCACTCTTACGTCCTACGTGTAGCCGACCTAGGCCATCTGGCCCCGACGCTGAAGAAATCACAAATCGTCGGGTATCTGGCGGCGCAGCGCCTAGTCGCCGTTCTGCAGCAGCTCACTGCAGCCTCCCATACCACATTCCTGGATCTTGCGAATCCGCGCAAATCGAAGCTACTCGAAGCTGACCGACGCTAGCCGACGCCAAAGCAACGCTAGCCGACGCTACATCGGCGCTCTCTCATCGACTACCAGACGCTAGGGCGCTCTAGTGCACTCTAAGGATGGAACTGCGAATACCTACAAGGATACCGTGAATTACTACAGACGGCTGAACTTCGCCGTGCGAGCCCCCGCCGCCGCGAGGTGTAGGAGGAGTCAGTCACGGGCGCCTTCGCTCCAGAGATTGTTGAGCGTTTTTCGCAAGGAGTTTTCGCCGCCGCGGCTGGGCACAGCGCTTGGGGGCACCAGACGGTGCGGTCATAGACCCTGTGGCCACCTCGGGGCCTCCAACGACCTCACCGCACGGTCCGCCACCGCTCGGTTTTGGGACCTTGGAGGCCCCGGTCGCCCGAGACACTGTCGGAGAACGGCCCACACCCCAAAAGGAGCCCCAAAGGACCCCTTTCGGGCCTCTGTCTGCACCCCCCATGTGAGTCACCCCGCATTAATTACCACCGGCGCGAACCTTGCGATTTTGCCTTGGGTCGAGCCCTGGGGCCCTCAACTCACGTCACCACGTCATCTGACCATCATCCCCATACGAATGGTGATCATCACAATCGCCATCACCATCATCATCCGCACCATCCGCATCACCATCATCATCGGCATCCCCATCATCACCACCACTATTATCACCACCATCGTCGTCATCATCATTGTTATCATAATCAATCGCACCATCAACATTGGAATCTTCATCACCATCATCATCATCAAGCAAGCAAGCAAACATGTCGACAACGGACAGCGCGTGTCGCACGCTGCCACGTGCCCCAAAACAGGGCTCGGCCGATGGCAGCCGTGGCTGCCGCCCTCACCGCTTACAGAAGTCAGCGTAATCATCTTCCAGCAGCTTCAAATTATCCTGGCTTTGTGCCGCCGCAATCCACGAGGAAGCGCCAACAAGCCTGCCCGCCTTGCCGGTAGAAAACCTGCCAAGGCTGTCGCACCACCGTTTAAGCGGCCGCGCCTGCGCTCTGCACCCTGTCAAGGACCAATCTAGCATCACTTTCGTCCAGCGGCCGTCGCCACGACGGGCAACGTGCCCTGCCCACCGAAACTTTCGCCTTGAAGCCTCTTTCACCCAATTACGAACACCGTGCTCCTGACTGGCCTTGACCGCTGTGCGTGTCGAGCGCACGATCCAGCGAACCTAGTCCTCCAAACTCTTCCCGCCCTCCGAATCAATAACAACACGCCTGTTCACACCAACGACCAAACGCAACAGTTTCCTTATGCAGCCGGTTGATTACGAACTCGCGCTTCGATGTCAATGTCCAAGAAGAACAACCACAGAGAAAGGTAGGCTGAACGACAAAACTAGATAGTCGCAGGCGTTGCGATAAAGGATAACACCGGTCAGTCAGCTCGTCCTCGTACACTGCAAACTTCGCCCAAGCTTTCGCGACTCTGTTCTGCAGCTCAACGTCTTGGGTATTTGTCAAACTGAGAAACTTTCCCAAATACATCGTCGCCGCGTCGCCAGGCAGCACTTCGAAGGTGCGCGACTGTATCTGCACATTGGTTGCCGAAGCTCCCATGCCAAAGCCGTTCCACATAATCTTTGTTTTACCCTCATGTACCTCTAATCCAAATTCTCTGGCTTTGCACATTAGATCGTCCAACATATGTGTTGCCTGATAAACCGAACCGGCCACCAGCACCAGGTCATCTGCAAAACGTGGGTTTGTCATTCTGTGCGACTTATATGTCTTAATGCCCCACCGGCGTTGCTGCCTTTTGTCCTGAAATCCGCGGATGAGCTTCTCCAGAGCGGCGTTAAACAAAACAGGGAAAACAGGATAACCTTGTCTCACACCCCGCCGTATGTCAAAAGACTTGCTTACCCGATCGCTCTGTACTTCGCATGACTTCCCTCGGCAAATACGCTTCAGCACACAATTATAGGTAGATGGCATTTCTGGTCACGCAGCGTCGCCTACAAACAATCATGGTTCAGGGAGTCGAAAGCCTTCCAGAAATCAAGAGCTACAAACCACAGCGGTGTTTGAAATTCGCGAAACATCTCCGACAACAGAGTGGCAACAAAAATATGATCGTCGCAAGAATATCAAGCTCGAAATCTCGCCTGGTCAACTGACTGCTCCTTCAGCAATGTGTCCCTGATCCTTCCAAGCACCACGCGGCTGAAAAGTTTATATATAATCGGAAGTATCGTAATCCGGCGGTAATCGGAAGTAGCATCACCATCATAATCGTCTTCATCAACATCCTCCTCTTTATCCTGATCCTGATCCTCATATTACCCATCTTCCTTGCCTCCCACCCTTGCTCATTGAGGCCGCTTGGTTCGGCTCATTCGGCACTGCCACTTGGGTCCCAGCCCGTTCTGCGGTGTTGGATCATGGATGGTGTGGAGGATTGTTCGAGGCTTCTGGGGGTGATTGGGCGAACAGGTCGAACAGGTCAATGCGTGGTGATAGGTAGTAAACGTTGAGGCTGATTTCGCGGTTGGGAGATCTGGACGGGTCGGTGGGAGCTGGATGGGTTGGGTGGTGGAGTGTGCTGGTGGGCAGTGGGTAGTTGAGACGAGTCGACTGGATGGGCGGCTAAATGAATGCATACTCTCCAGCACTGAGGCCCTACACAGCCGGCTGTGTGACCCAGGGCCCCCCCCGCAACCCAGGCGCCCGCCTAGTCACCTCGATCTGTGGAAAGGGCGCCCAAAGCAGGTCCCACTCCTCCGCGGCGCCGTCGGGGCGCGCATACCCCGTCGTCGGCTTCACTCTCCAGCACAAACGAGAACGATTGTTGCTGGCTATCTGCTTGAATCCTTTCCCACACGTGATGCCGCCAGGTGCGCATCAATAACGCAGCGGCAATGCTACTGCTTGGCACTACTGAACCCTCTACTCCCACTGCAACAACGACTACTACTAATTGCTACCGATGGCACCGCCACACTACTAAAATCAAAGACGCGAATCCGCTGACCACTAACTACGCAACGAATGAGGTGATGTAAGGGCAGTCCGCTGGTGGTCGTGAGCACAGGAAGACGGATGTGGTCGTCGGAATTGCACTCCTATTCTCTACCCTCTACCCTCTGGTCTGCACCCTCGCTCTCTACAACAAACATATGCCCTATATCCTTCGCAATGGGCTCTCGACTCCATCCTATACGTTCCAATGTCTCAGATCCACACTTTGCCATATACTCTATGCTCATTGCTATCGTTGTTTTCTGCACACTGCACGCTGTGCTCTGCTCCATGCCGGTCACTCTCGACGGTATAGCGTATATCCTCTGTACTGTCTGATTTACTCTGGACTGTCTGCCCTCTGTACTATTAACACACACACACACACTCTCTCTCTCTCTCTCCCATCTGCTCTCCCTATTGCCCCTACGCTCTCTCCCTCTCTCTCTCTCATCCTCCACTGTGGGAGCGGGGGAGGCCGCCCAAAGGAATCAGCAAGAAACTTGAACCAAGACCCGGAACCTAAAATCGGGGAGCCCAAGCGTCTGGAGCACGACACCCAGGCTGGACGATACAAACACGTCGATTCAGCGTTTTGTCAATACATGGATGACGCTTATCCACTTCGGTACCCTTCTCAGCAAAACTGACTACTTACGCTGCAACATGCAAAAGAGTATGGAAACGCTGCCCCGAGCTGGAACCTGGCCGCCAGCCCAAAGCATCCCGATAATTTCGCCAAATACGTTCACAGTCTCCGCGGGGGAGGTTCAATGCAGGCGCTGACTGGGCAATGCCACTCCTGACATCTGTTGCTGCTGAGTGCAGCGTCGCGCCACTACTACTTGTTAGACTACGCCTACGACGACAATTACTGCGCGTACTCATACGAAGCACAACCGATGTACGAATCACCAGCTGGATGTTAACAACCACATCGTCTTGGCGGCGGAAATAAGAGGGTAGGGGGAGGGGGGAAAGCTTCTTAGAAAGAGGCTGCTACTTAGAAGGCGCCGGCCCTGCATCCAAAATTAAGGCCCGCGCCTTCTAAGAAACAGGGGTGCTTATAGAACCGTCCCCCCTCCCCCTACCCCCTCTGCGCGCCGCCAACGTTTGACGGTCATGGGGCCCAGCGAGGGCCCCCAGAGGCCGAAGCAGGCAAAAACCTCCGCATCGGACCTCCCAATACGTTGGAGGCCTGGGCCGGTCCTGGGTTCTCGATCGAGGCCGATGGCTCGGGACGATTCCCCGTCCTCGATCCTCGATCCTCGATTCTCTCTGCGCGTGGCCGATCGTCACAAGATGCGATGAGCAGGGTGGGGCGAGGAGGGCTTGTTAAGCAGGCGCGGAGCTCCTCTCCCCGCTCCGCGCTGAGGTCTTCCAAGTCGCCCGTCGGGGCGTCGTCCTGGCCGCCCCCCCCCCCGCCATCCCCCGAGCGGATCGACTACAGAAACGATGTACCCCAAACTTGTGCGTTCGCGTGCAAGTTTACAACAGAACGAAAACGTGGCAAGTTCGTAGATCTACGAAGGCGATACTATTTTCGTTGCAGATTCGACGTGGACTTCAAATCTGGGGTACATCGTTTACTGAGTCGATCCCCCACTCAAACCCCCGTCGCCATCCCACGGAGGACATGGTAGTCACGGAGGATGACTCTGCCCATGGAGGCGGAGACGCGGCGGCACGAGCACGCCCAAGAGCAACGTGGGGGGAGAAAGGCCCGCTGCGCTGCCGCGGCTGCCAATGCCTCTATAGAGCAACGTTCCGCCAGTGCCCAAGAAAATCACGAAAACAAACATTCGCCAGTGCTCAGGGGAATGGCAGGACGCGGTGGCCGCAAGCAGGGGGGTACGGCGTCCCTGGATGCCTCGACCCGTTCCCCGGGATCGGCTATTTCATCCTGAGTCGTTTTGTTGACAGCCCTGAGGCCTGGCGAGGGCCACCAGAGGCCGAAAACAATGAACAACACCTCCGTAGCGTTTGTGTCTATAAGTCCGGGATGGCTATGGAAAACATGGGTACGATGCCCAACATCAAACGCTGTCCAAAACCGACAGAAGCCGCTGTTGGGCAGCCGGCCTTCTGTCTCAAATGGACAAATTCCGCGGGGACACCGACAACGAGCCCTGATATAAATGAATAGGGTCTGATGTTGGACTTTGTATCCAGTCTTTTTGTACCCATCTCGATCGTATTCTTAATCTGACGCGTGGCCGACCCCGCTGGCGGTCCTCCGCTGGCTCCCCAGGGCCCTCGCCCGGGGGATGGGCCTCGGCGGCGGCGGCGCTGGGAGCGCCTTGCGCCCTGGCGCGCCGCCGCACCTTGGGTGGGGGGGGGAAGGGGGCCACCGCGATGGAGGACCGAGAACCGAGGATCGAGCATCGAGGATGGAGGATCGATCGAGAATCGAGGATAGAGGATCGAGGATCGAAGATTGAGGATCGAGGATCGAGAATCAAGGACGGGGAATCGAAGGTCGGCGTCCCGAGCCATCGGCCTCGATCGAGAACCGAGGACCGGCCCAGACCTCCACCACATCGGGAAATCCGATGCGGAGGTTTTGTCGGTTTCGGCCTCTGGGGGCCCTCGCCGGGCCCCAGGACCGTCAAACATTGGTGGGGGCAGGGGGAGGGGGAAACGCTTCTTAGAAGCACCCCTGCCTCTTAGAAGGCGCGGGCCCTGTCGGTCGAGCCTTCTAAGAAGCAGCCTCCGTCTAAGAAACCTCCCCGCCTCCCCCTACCCACTTGTGCGCGCCGCAGGCCTGGCACACGTGGCGCACCTCGCCCAAGCGTTGCGCACCTGGGGCCTGTATTGGTTCCGAATAGCTGTCCATCTGGAGTCGGCCGCTGAAGATGCTGAGACTCGTGTAAGGGCTCCCGAGCGTCAGCATCGTCGTCGTCGCCGCCGCCGCCGTCGTCGCCGTCCCCCTTCAGGGTCGGCCGGCCGTAAGGCCTTCCCAATATGCTGAGACTCGGGTACTACTTCTGTGTTCGGAGGGCGGGTGGGATTGAGCCTAACAGTTTGCGTCTGGGGGGTCGTTTAATCCCTCCCTCTACTCCCTCCACCTGGGTCTGGACAGGGGGAGCGGCAAGGTGTCAGTGCGTCCAAGGAGGCGCCAGCGAGAAGGAACAATTGATTTAGCAGGTTTGGGGGCCATTCGGGCCTCTTGGGGTGGCCGAAGCAAATCTAATACTCCCCCTTCGTTTTCGAACTCCTCCAAGATGGCCCCAAGATGGCCCTCAAGGCCCCAGAGAGTGCCCAAAGAAGAGGCGCTCGCCTCAAGAGGCTTCCAAGAGGTCCCCAAACGGCTCCCAAGTGGGCCTGGCGATACGAAAATGCGGTAGGCGTCCTTTGGCCTTGCCGCATGCTCCCTGGCCTTCGGCCGGGGCGTGCGCTGCTCCGAGGCCGCCGTGGTAGCGCGACCCTGCCGCACGGCGCCCTGGCAGAGCCTCAGCCCGAAGACCACCCATCGCCACTGGAGGAAGAGGGGGTGCCGACCAGACCGCCGCCGCCGCCGCTACCCGAGCGGGGGGGAGCGGGAGGGGTGGCTTCAGGAGGCTCCCTCGAGGCACCCTGGACACTCCAAGAGGCCATGGGGACCGCCACTAGGCCCCCAACACGCACCAAGAGGAGTCACAGAAGCTCTCAAGATACATGCGAAGAGACTCCGAGAGAAACCAGAGAGGCCACTGGCTTTTCAGCTAAACAACCTCCTCCTCCTCCTCCTCCTTCTCCTCCTCCTTCCTCCTCCTTTTCCTGTGTTCCTCCTTTTCCTCCTCCTCCTCCTCCTCCTGCTCCTCCTCCTCCTCCCTCCCTTTTCCTTATAAGTAACTGCTCCCTGTCGCACCCCGAGGCAAGTTTTTAGGGCGGGCCCGGCGTTCCGCCTGAGACTGCCTCACCACTTATGACTCTGAAGCTTCTAAAAAGGAGCAACAGTTTCACTGATGGAGGGCGGGTCGTTTTCAAAATGTGGCTCTCGCCTTAGCGCCGCGAACATTGGTTTTCAACATTTGCAAGAGCTTCACGGATTGAGTGCGGGTGGATTTCAAAATGCGGCTCTCGCTTCAGCGCCACGCACATTCGAATTAAACCGTCGCAAGAGCTTCGCAGATTGAGGGCGGGTGGTTTGCAAAATGTGGCTCTCGCCTGAGCGCCGCGAACATTCGTTTCAACAAATTACAAGAACTTCACGGATTGAAGGCGGGTCGTCTTGAAAATGCGACTCTCGCCTTAGCGCCGCGAGCATTCGTTTTAAACATTTGCAAGAGCTTTACGGATTAAGGGCGGTTCCTTTTCAAAATGTGGTTCTCGCCTCAGCGCCGCGCGCATTCTTTACACAAAATGCAAGGGTTTCACGGATTTCCATGATCACCGTACCAGAAACTTTGTTTTAGAAGGATTCAGGGTTATGCGGGTGCGGCGGTTAAGTTGATTCGCGGTGTTGAAGTCCCGAAACTGGCGATCTGGCACGACTCTGGATCGTCAAGATGCAACGGTCAGTTTGATCAGTGGCGTTGAAATCCCGAGAACAATGTTTTGGTGTGCTTCAAGGTCTTCAAACGGTCTTCTTCCAACGAGGCAGTTCCCCCAATGGAAATGAACCGTTGTAGGGGCTTGTGAAGAGGGAGCTTGGAGGGAGGGTGAATTCCAAAATCGCCGATGACTTCTAGGTTTACACTGGTCCTTCACCTCCTCCTCTTCCTTCTCTGCCTATTCTCCCCTCCTTCCTCCCTTCTCCCCCTCCCCCTCGTCCGCCTCCTCCTCCTCCTCCTGCTCCTCCTGCTCATCATACTCCTAGTATTCCTCCTTCATCCTCTCCATCATCTCCTATTCTTCTCCTCCTTCTATTATATCCTCCCTTCCTCCTTCCCCTCCTCTTCCTCCCGCCCTCCTGCCATCCCTCTCTCCCTCCCGCCCCTCAGGGCCGGGTCGGGTGAGTCGGGACGGGCTTGGCCGGGCTGGGCCGGGCCGGGCCTTCCCCTCTCTTCTCTCCCTCCCCCCCCCTCTCCGCCACCTGTTCCACTTCCGCCGCTCCTTTGGGGGCAGGTTCGAGCCGAGACGTGTTGCTGGAGGGCGGTCGAGGTTGAGTGCTTGGGCTCCTTTGGTGTCAGAAGCTGGGGCCGATGCTCCCTCGGCAGGATTTGCTATTCGAAGAAACGTGCCTCGAGGTGGATCGGGCGGCCTCGAGAGGTCGGGCCAGGGCGAGGACGCCAGGGCCCAGGGTCGACTCAGCGCATCGTCCCTTGCCCCCATCCCTCTGCTCTCAACGGGCCACAGGCCCTCGTCCCATGGGTCGCGCTGAGCCGCGGGAGGGGTGAAGGGGCAATCTCGACGGCGCGCTGGCTCAGTCCCCTCCAATCTCCCTCCCCTCCTCCCCTGCTGATGCCGGTGCGCTGCCTCCCCCCCTCCCTCTCCGCAGCCGCTCTCTCTACAGTCTCCCGCATCCCCTCCGGACGCCCAGAAGCCAGCGTGGTCCGCCTCGGATTAGATCGCCATGGCCGGGGAGCAGCTGAAGCAGGAAGATGTTCTCAAGTACTGGATGGACCACAAGCCGTCCCTGAAGGCAACCCTCCGGGCAGCGGCGACCAGTGAGTCCAAACACCCAGGCGCGTGCTGCTCGAAGACCCTGTACGGGCGGGCCGTAAAGCGCCAGTGGGAACTCATGAACCCCGAGCAGCAGGAGTCCTGGCGAGCCGCGGCGGCCGCTGGGGGCCCCCCCCCGTCGCAGCCCGCCCTCGCGTTCCCGGTCTGCCATGGCGGCTCGCCCCCGGAAGGCCAGGGAGGTGCGGAGTCCCGGAGCGCCGCTCCAGCGCCGGAGGCCCCGGACCAGGCGGGCGCTTGCCCTGGGGCCGGCCAGAGCCAGGACTCGAGCTCTTTCCCGTCGTGGTGCGCCTGGTGCGGCAGGGCCCCCCTGTCTCCCTTCCAGCTCAAACAGGGGCAGGGCCCCTTTCAGCACAAGTTCTTCTGCGGCGGGTGTTGGGACGCCTGGGAAGCGGAGCCAGCAACGCCCCCAGGGTGTCCCCCCGACCTGGGCCAGGAACAGGCGCCCCAGCAGCACGCGGAGGCCCCGGAGTCGGCTGTTCTGCCCGACGGGGCTGCGGCCCCGGAGCAGGAGGCCAAAGGGCAGGCCACCACCGGCGGCGGAGGGCCTCAGCCCGCGCGCGGCGCCCTAGCGGCACAGACCGGTCCTGGGACGCAGGAGGCCGTGGGGCTCCCAACCTCCGGAGCAGGGTGGGCGCCCGAGCAAGGTCTCCTGCCTGTGCAGTGCGTGGAGTGCGGCGTTGTGGGCGGTCCGGTCAAGGCGGGCTACTGCGAGTACTGCTGGACCACCTGGGAAGCAACGAACACTTCTCTGGCCGCCGGCGCCGCGCAGCAGTTCACGGGAGCAGCAGGGCACTCCGAGCCAGGTCAGCAGCCCCCAGCCAAGCGGGCCAAGTTCACGGGGCTGGAGCCGGACCCCTGGACAGGCCGTGGCGTCGGCGGGGCTGAGCCCGGGCAGGGTTCGGGTGACACGGCGGCCCTTGCCTGCATGGAATGTGGGCAGCTTGTGTACGCTCTTGTGGCAACCAAAGGGCCTTCGGGGTTGCGGTTCCTGTGCGGGGCCTGCGGGCCAGCAGCCAGCCCTGCCGCCGGTAACGGGGCGCCCCCCTCGCACGCTCTGCCCCCAGCGGGTCGGGGGAGTGACGCCCAGGACTGGGGCGCGCCGCCAGCAACCGCCGCTCCGAAGCCAAGGGCCTGCGACCCGCTCTTCCCGGAGTTCGGGCGCGTCCAGGGCCCGCCGGCTGCAGAGGCAGACAAGCACAACGTGGACAGGTGGGTACGGAGGCTCCCAGACGGGAGCCTCCCGACGGACCGGATCGTGCTGCACTGGGCCTACACTCACCCGGTGAGCGGCCCCCTCATGGCCACTGGCAAGTGGTGCCACGTCCCCAAGCGGGATCCCGTGCCGAAGGGCGTGCTCCTGCAGTTCGGGCACAAGAAGGGAGCAGCCCATGTCTGGCTCCGCAAAGGAGGCCACGTGCACGTGTCTGCCAGCAAAAAGAACGGCGTCCAGGAGGCGATCTTGGCCAAGCTCGAGGCCTGGACCGAGCCCTGGAACAATGGCACCCCGCCAGCCCCCCAGCGGATTGGCGGCCCGCAGGCGCTCCCGCCTCTGCCGCCCCTGCCGCCAGCAGCATGGTCGCCGCCCCCGGCGTCCGATTGACCAGGCAGCCTAGCCTCGCGGTAAGACTTCTCGGGGGAGCCTTTACCCCTTGCGCTCTTGTTTCTCCTCCGCCCCCCTCCCTCTTCCACGCTCTAGGTAGGGCCCCCGTGCGCCCGG